GGTTGTATAGTAATATGATGCAAGAACTTTCAAAAACCATGTTATAGCCATTTGTTTTATCCAAATTTTGAAATATACACTCTTTTCATTTTAATGAACAATTACAAAAATAAATAAATAAATTGAAAACACAATTTAGAAAGTATTTTTTTAGCCTAATAAACATAGGCCGTTCATTTTGGTGAGATGCTTAGATCTAGGCCTTAGAAGATCTTTTTATTTTCAATTTTTTAGATAGCTTTATTATTATTAGATGAACAATATGGGGAAAAAAAATATGATTTTGAGTTTATAAAGGCTAAGATCTTGAAATTCACCAAATGAATGGTCTACATTCGTTTTTGGAGGGGACTTCAAATTGAACTTCTTCTTTTTTGGGATTGACTATTGAGATGAAAAGAGTGTGTGTGTAAAATTTTGAGTCATACAAATACCACAAACATGATTTTTTAGAAGTGTCATCACATCATACTAGGATACAACCGTTGCATGAAATATCCTCCTCATAATCCCCTATTTTAAATTTAATTTAATTTTCGTATTTTTAATATTTGCTGGATCTCCGATTGGTACGGATCCAATTTGCCAATCTAGCGGCATGGATGTGTTAGGTGAACAACCCACCCCACCGATCTAAGTTTTGAAACGCTCATCTCGAATCAACCTTAAGAGTAGGAAAAAAAAAGCATGGGGCAGTTTTTCATTTTAAACACTGACTATATTCATATGTGTACTTTAATTATTGAATCTCACTCTCACTCCATAGTGCAGCTTTTTGAATTTGCAGACACTTACAGAGGAAAGTATGACAGCAGCATCAAGCCTGCTCAAAAATATTACCAATCCACTAGTGGATACGCGGTAACTTTACTTCCACATACTCCATTTTTTTTAATTCGGTTTTGGTGCATCAAATTCGGATTCTCCGAGTCTGACTAGTGTGATTCCCAAGTAAGATAAGGTCGCATTTAACATTTTAAAAAAAAGAAAAAAAGAAAAATGAATAGGAAATTGGGAGACAACGATTCTGAGGTTTTTCGGCCTAGAATCATAAATTTCCGGATCCGATCTTGTCTCAAACGATTGCTGAGTTGACCAGACGATTTATAAATCACTCATACACGTTACAATGCATTAAGTTTTCAATCTCTTAACTGCAAACTAAAATTCTTGTGCTTAATGGCAGGATGAATTGCTTTGGGCTGCAGCATGGCTTTACCAAGCAACTATGGATTCGTATTATTTGGATTATTTGGCGAAGAATGGGGATTCACTTGGAGGGACCACATGGTCAATTACCCAATTTAGTTGGGATGTTAAATATGCTGGAGTACAAGTGCTCGTCTCTAAAGTAAGTCTTTTTATTTATTTATCTGTTTATTATTGCTGGGTTTTTTTTTTTTGGAGAATGTTAAACCATTTATCTACCCCAAAAAAAACGAATGGTAACCATTTGACCTCAAAAGTAGCTCCTTTATTTCACAGTTCCAAAATTATTGGGCAATGATTTCATGGAACGTTTGTATAGTTATACGATATAACAACTTCAAAAACCAAGTCAGGGCTATTTTTTTTATCGAAATTTTAAAACATACACTCTCTTCACTCTAATGAACATTTACATAAAAGAAAATTTTTAAAGCACAATCTCGAAAGTATTTTTTTATAGCCAAATTAACATAGTTCATTCATTTTGATAAGATGCTTAAATCTAGTCTTTATAATGATTTTTTTCTTTTCCATTTTTTTTAGATGGCTTTATTGTCGTTAGATGAACAATGCTTAAAAAGAAAAAAATGATTTTGAGCATGTAAAGGCTAAGATCTTGAAATTCACCAAATAAATGGTTTAGATTCATTGTTGGAAGCGATTCATTTTGACCATATCTAGGGTCCAAATCGAACAATTTTTTTTTTGGGGATTGATTATTGCGATGAAGACGGTGTGTGCGCAACATTTTGGGTCATACAAATACCACAAACATAGTGCCCCAAATCTAGGACAGGCGAAATCACTGTTCATTCCGATTTGTTAAAAAAAGAAAAGAAAAATGAAACACTTCTGGATAATCATGGCCATGCGATGAACTTTAGATGGTGATGAGGGTAGGCAAAATCACTGTTCATTTCACTTATAGACGTTTTGTAGTATCTTCCATATATATATATATATATATACTTGGCCTTTCCTCTTATTGAACTTAAGTGGGCTACCTTGAGTTGTGTGTACAACTCATCGTAAGTAAAAAATTTTATAAAAATATCCAAAAAATTATAAAATATAGGGGTATATTGTATAAATTTATTATATGTGATTTTGGATGTTTTTGGCATAGATGGGTGAAGTTTTTTTTTTATCATTTTTTTTTTGCAACAATCCATATTTTTTTATTTACCTTTTTTTGTTTTTCTAAAAGTCCCCAACTATAAATTAATTTTTTAAATCATTTTTTTAAAAAAAAATTTAAAGCATATTTGGATTTTTCAATATTGCTTTGGGTTTTATTTTACTTTTAATATATTTAATTTATTTTTTATATTTTAAATTTTTCTGGGGCTTTAACTTGAGTTTCTTGTACCCTTTGCGGTAATATAATAAAGGGTTACGTTACAGTACTCATACATTATAAGAATTTACTTAATGTATTTCAACAGGTTTTGACATTTAATACCCTTATTCCACCATATAATAACCATTTTACCTAGCGGTATTTTAGGTAATTAAACATGGGTAAAATTGAAAATTTTGATAGAAAAAATATCATTTATTATTTATAGTGGAAGATTATATCATTGTGATATCACCTACCTAGAGCAATGGTTGATTCTTAACTACTAATAAATGCTGTTACTTTCTTATAAATATATTTATCATACTCCTCTTAATTATGAAAAGTGTTTTTTATAAAATTAATTTTATATTAAGTGTCTAAAAAAGTTGAGTACATTAAAAATATATTCATATATACCAATACCTCACAACATAATACTTTAATAAATTAGTGAGGGATCCAAATTTTGTGGGTCTGTCAATTAGACCACTGTGGTCATGAATCTAAAAAAAATGAATTTGGGGCCTCAAAAATAGTTTATATACTATTAGATCTGCGGTGTCTCTAGAGATCAAATTCATGGATCCAAAGCGGAAATGGATTTACAATGATTTGTGATGCGTTTTGGATCTAAATCCTTTGAAAACTACAGTGACGCATGAGTCGGCGACTCACCTATCACCTAACTTCTTTTCGTAATTATATTATTCGTGGTTTGGGACCCTTAGCGCTGATAGAACGTACAGATAGTATATGTGCAGTTTCTAATAGATCAAAGTTATATTATACACTTGACCACCATTTTCTTGTGATCTTTTTTCCATGGTGTAGTTTCTAATCCAAGGAGTGCCACCTGCATACACGTCAACTTTTGAGAAATACAAAAGTCAAGCAGAATTCTTCATGTGTTCTTGCATTGGGAAAGGCTCAAAAAATGTGAGGAGAACACCAGGAGGGTTGCTCTTCAGGCAAACTTGGAACAACTTGCAGTTTGTCACCACTGCTTCATTCTTATTAACTGTTTACTCTGACAACTTGACATCTGCTCGGAAAGCAGTCACTTGTCCTCAAGGAAATGCGGCACCTTCGGAGCTTCTTGTCTTCGCTAAGTCTCAGGTATATGCATACATGGATTGTGTACTATGAAGTATAGCTCAATGGAAGGGTGTAGGCTTGAACCAAGCATATCTCTTGTATAAAGAAAAGAATCAGTAAAACTTTGAAAACAAAGATTTTAATAATGAGGTCATAAAGTCAATCTTAGAGAGGCATCTTCTTGTTTTATGAATTTCCCTTTAGTCCAAACTCTAAAAGTAAAAACAGAAAATGAACCTATGTGTTTAGTTATTTATCAATGTTGAGAATTTTTTTATATTTCCTGATATTTTGTCCAAAATTATCTTAAAATTATCTTATTTTGCCAAACATATTGTTCATTTGATTCTACATTTCTTACTTTTGTTGGGGTTGGTGGGAAATTAGGTGGATTACATATTGGGGAACAACCCTAGGGGGACAAGTTACATGGTGGGGTATGGAAACAACTACCCAAAGAGGATACACCACAGGGGATCCTCCATTGTGTCCATCAAGGTGGACCCCACATTTGTCAGCTGCAGAGGAGGCTACGACACGTGGTTCTCCAGCAAAGGCCAAGATCCCAACCTTCTAGTAGGGGCTGTGGTTGGTGGGCCCGGTCCTTACGACGACTTTGCTGATGTTCGCAACAACTATGAGCAAACTGAGCCCGCCACTTACAACAACGCACCAATGCTCGGTGTCCTAGCACGATTGAGTGGTGGCTATGGGAATTTGAACCAGCTTCTTCCAGGTACTCATTGTTGTCTATATGCTTCAAGATAGGTACACTAGGATCCAAGTCATGAACATTTTACAGTTATTCATATGTTTACATGCATATATACATATATACGTATATTGATGCGTGCTAGTATGCAACAACTACATAGATATCTACACAGATATATACATAAGAAATAATCAGATTGGAACTAGCTTTATCTCAGTCATTTCCGACCAAGTCTGAAATTGGATCATTCTTTTTTCTTTCATTGAGATCTGTCGTTGGATTCCAGTTGGATTTAATTAGCCCTAATTTAAGAGGAACCATCCAATATTATTAGGCCGGGATTCATAATAGTTGAGGTAGATCTAGGTCTTGCATATAAATCCATTTTCTTTTGTTTAAAGATATTATGACATTATATTAGAAATTATGACCTTGTATTTTAACTGTTGAGACATTGCGATTAACTATTAAACCTTGTGTTTGCCTTGCTGCCATAGGTGCTCTTCCAAGCCCTCCACCACCAAAAACAGCTCTTGCTCGGAGACAAGGTAAAATCGATTTTCTTAATTTCCCTACATTTGTAGTATAAAGACAGTTAAAATTCATCTCATAAATATGTTCTCTAATTTGACTATGGTTCTTGCAGCTCCATCACCTCTCCTGATCTCACAAACTGAGACTCATTCATGGCTCCTCAAGCAAAAGACTTACTTTAGATACACTGTCACTGTCACAAATCAGTCCCCAAAGACAGTCAAGAATTTGAAGCTATCCATAACGAACCTTTACGGACCCGTCTGGGGGTTATCAAAATCCGGCGAATTCTACATGTTTCCAACATGGGTGACATCTTTGGGACCCCAAGGAAGGTTAGAGTTTGTGTACATCCATGCAGCCCCTCTTGCTACCATAACCATCAGCAGATACGACTTGGTCTAATAGGAAGCCAAGATTATATCAGTGACAAAAATTGTGTCAATAAAATGTGGACTATAATGAGGACTAGCATTGTACAGGCTCATGAGGGAGAGACAGAGAGAAGAGTGGGTATTTGATTTTGCTCATCCCTGTTCTCCTTCTAAAGGGAATGCACAATTGAGGCTCCATATTTCCCTTGAGATTTCCTTTACTTTGAAGGATTTGAGGCTGCATAAAAAAAGTTGGGCAAAGATAAAGAGATGGCATTTTGACATGCCTAAGTTCATGTATAATGTTTGGGTAAATATAATTCATTAGTGAATCATGTTTCGAAATTCTGGTGCTTGTATTGATTAGTGAATCATGTTATGAAACACTGGTGTTTTTATTGTTTCTTACTATTATTTTTCCTTGATCTTCTTTTTTCTTTTGAGATTTTGGTTAGGAAGCATTTTTTGAAGTTCAAAACACAGTGAAAGAGACGATCAGACATATCTATATGATTACATAGCCATTGTAAATGGATAATAATATTCACAAGTACAATAATTTGCTAGAGGTAACAGAATCCTCCTCGGGAAAATTTCTATACTCCAACTGGCATAAAGCTACAGCATAAGCCAATCTCTAAGATACACTGAAGGAATTCTTTCGGGCAGAACTTCCGCAGAGATTTAATTTGAAAAATAAACAATTTTAAAAATATTGATTTTGACTTCTTGAAAACCTAGATCCACCGTCCACCAAATGAATAGCATGTGTTCACTAAAAATAGTGGACTCATATCTTCGTGAAGATTCTTTTTCCTTTTTCTTTTTTTTAAAAAATTACCTCTGACATTTACATGTGCACAAAACTTAGGATCCGAATAGAAGTTTAAGCTGAAAGAAAATAAACATATATGTCAACATATTTCCATACTAGCTAAGCAGTTAGGAGGAAAAAAAGCTTGGGTGATAGCAGTGATGCCTCTAAATATGCTTTGGAGAAATGAAAGCTTGATTAATATTCCTTGTGCAGACATACAATACCAGGTTATAGCTATGTGACAGTCTAGATCTCAATAGAATTTGGGTTGAGGGATGACATGCACTAAGAGAGTTTACTCCCAATTAGCATTTTAAGGAGTGTGAAAGTTGATGTTTGTTTACCGGACCGGACCCGGTGGATGTGTGAACTAATTCTCAAGAGCCCTGGACCAGATTCCCCCCTCTTTTTGTTTGTTATTTTTATGCTTTAGTTTCATTTATTAATTGACCCTCTCAAATTAGCCATCTCAATCAAAATTGCCAATCCAGATCGGTCCATTGACAAACTAGACTGATCCACTTTTTTACAAATCAGCCATATCGATCAGAATTGCCACTCAAGGTCGGTCCATCCACAAACTAGATTGATCCACTTTTTTACAAATCAGCCATCTCGATCAGAATTGTCAATCCAGATCGGTCCATCCACAAACCAGATTGATTCACTTTTTTAAACATCAGTGTGCGCCAATCGTAAAATATATTAAATGAAGGAGCATTTAGAAATAAATAAATAAATAAAACTAAGCTAGTCCCAAAAAAAATTGTATTTGACCCATATCAAAGGCTCTTTCATGGTATCACGGGCAAGGCTCTATGCACTCGTTAAATTCATTTTTCACCAACTCCTTCCACTAAATATAGGGCGAGGTTTGTATAAGGTATCAACCTTATACTATTGAAGTAAGATACGCCTCAAAATTATGCCGAAAATATAGTTTTGGTGCCACAAAGCCTTCCGATGATATGAAAATCTATATTTGCCCCCCATTATGAAATTTAAAGCTTTAAAAAGAGTAATGATCAGAAAAATCTATAAACACTTGAAAATTTTGAAAATAGACGGTCGAGATAATATATTAAAAAATAAACTATTTTTAGGACTCAAAATTCCTTTCTTTTTTTTTTGTGTCCGAGATGATTGATTTAAGAGCTTTCCATCGTAGGAACAACCTTCAATAGTGGGTTTATTAGGCGCACCTTACCCTTATTGTATAAGGATGAGACCTTAGTAACACGAAAGACATGCAGAGAAAAGTTCCCATGCATTATTAGCCCGTGAAATGATCACAAGAATCAGACTCCTAGAATTAGAACCACGACATGGTAAAAGGTCTGGTTCAGTGAAAATTGATCTGCTCGGAGTGAATGAACAATACTTTAAAAAAAAACAAAATCAAATTGATAAGGGTGCAGTTAGCGTACGGATGCATCCATAGCTGTAGAGGTAAGGTGCACCTTCGAATTTTATTATAGTAAATAATTTTGATGTAAAAAGTTATTAGGATTATTTCAAAATCTATTTTTATATCTAATTATAAAATTTTAAATTTCAAAAATAATTAAAATCAAATAGATCTATAAACATATGAAAATAGTGAAAAATGAACAATGTAGATAATATGTTGTAAAATGCACTATTTCTAAGGCTTAAAATCGTTTTATTTTTCATGATCATACATCTCGATATCGAGATGATCAATCAAAGGCTTTTTTAACATTAAAACTACCTTTTCCGATGGATTTTTGAGGTGCATACCTAGCTCTACATATAAGGTTGCAACTTTATATAAACTTTTTCCAATTGATAATACAAAAATATAAAATATATTATAAAAAAATTGTCCAATTTCAAAAACTAAGATCAAAACTGATTCACCAATAGCTAAAATCAGTCAACGATTAATTTTCAAACCCTAATTTTGACCACTTTTCAAAATGCAAGAACCGAGTAAAATAAGGCATCCACATATATATAATACTGTTTTAATAGAAAAACTTACAAGCTTTCAACCCGGCATTCTCCCTCCTCCCTGTACAAACCAAAAGAGAAGCAAGGGAAAACTGATGAATCCATCAAAACTTGCATCTCTCTCTCCTCTCATATCTACACGCATCGCCCCCTGCGCCACACTCTCTCCTAAGCAAGGAGATCCCATGAAAATAAAACCCGAAAAAATCGATGACCCAAAAAAAAAAATACAATTACAGGGCCAAAAGCCTCCTGTCCCGGGGCCTGCCCTCACCTCTTTCCGGCGAAATTGTCGATGAACAAGACCTTGGGGGCAAAGCTGAGTGCCTTCCCCTCATCCTTGAACTCGGTGAAACGGACCGGAAGCCTGCATTTTCCGGCGATATTGATCGGGGAACCCCATTTTCTGGTGAAACTGACCCAAAAACCCCGTTTTCCGGTGATCGGGATCGGAAAAACGGCATCACTGGGCCATTAAAGCTTGGTGATTTCACAATGGGGGGCCTGCCACCCAACGCAGGTGCCAGAATTGGCTCTTGCCGCCCTATACTGGAAGTGACACCTGGTTCTTGCAAGGGAAATCGACTCGAGTACTTCATTTCTTGAATGGATTTAAGAGTTTCAACTAAGGCTCGCATCGTTGGCCTCTCTGATGGATCCTTTTGGAGGCATTTTAGAGATAAAGAGGCGACTATGTCGGCTGCTTTCGAAGGGAACCGACCTTTGAGTTTTGGGTCCATTATGAGAGAGAGGCGGCATGAGTCAGCTAAGTAACGGCGAGCCCATTTGACGAGATTGCGTTCCTCTTTGGGATGGCGGGGGTCAAGGTTTTGGTGGCCGGTGAGGAGCTCAAGGAGAACGACCCCGAAGCTGTAGACGTTGCTCTTTGGGGTGAGGAGCCCACGCTCAACTGTCTCGGGGGAAAGGTTTGACATGGCCTGGACCTGCGTACAATGGGAGTGGGTTTAAAAAAGAAATGAATATCTCTGTGACTGCAAATTTGAAGCATCACTCTCCGCATTTAGTTTGTCCAAATTTCAACCCTCTGTCTCTCTCTCTATGTACGCACGGGTACATACGGGTACATACACATGTGCTAGATTCTCATACTACAACCGGAATCTAGTGAACAAAAAAGCCAGAGAGAAGAGTTTACCATGGAAGAGGCATTTGAGAACTCCACTTCAGGGTTATAACTTGCGCATCCATAACCTGAAAGCTTTGCACTGAAATCCTTGTCTATCTGTATGTTTGCCGTCTTGAATTCGGTGTACATAGCCTGTTCATGCCAAAGAAGGGGGAAAAGTTCTGTAAACCCCGATAACATACAAAATCTTGTGTTCATTTGCACTCAACTTACTTATACTCCGGAATTCCCCAGAAACTTAAAATATTTCATTTTAGTTGACAAACGCTCTGTGTTTGTGCTTTAACATGCCTAAAAACAGTAGTAACTACTGAAAACAGAATCTGCAAATTGGGTGATTTCACTTTCATTGTCACTGTTAATAATGTACTTTTAAAATAGAGCAATGATTTCATGCAACCGTTGTATAGTAATATAATACAACAACTTTAAAACATCATCTTATGCCCATTTGTTTGATCCAAAATTTGAAATATACACTCTTTTCATTCTAATGAACAATCACAAAAAAAAAAAAAAACTTAGAATACACTACCTAAAAAGTATTTTTTGGTCCAATTAACATAGGCTGTTCATTTGGTGAGACGCTTAGATCTAGACCTTAAAATAATTTTTCATTTCCAATTTTTTTTGGATGGCTTTATTTTCATTAGATGAACCATGCTAAAAAAGAAAAAATGATTTTGAGTTTATAAAGGCTAAGATCTTGAAATTCACAAAATGAATGGTCTAGATTAGTTTTTGGAAGGGACTCATTTTGACCATATCTAGGGTTCAAATTGACCTTTTTTT